TACAGAAACAGCCAAAATGTGTTTGTTTACGTACAGAAACAACCAAAATGTGTTTGTTTACGTACAGAAACAGCCAAAATGTGTTTGTTTACGTACAGAAACAACCAAAATGTGTCTGTTTACCTACAGAAACAGCCAAAGTGTGTTTGTTTACCTACAAAACAGCCAAAGTGTGTCTGTTTACCTACAGAAACAGCCAATGTGTTTGTTTACGTACAGAAACAGCCAAAGTGTGTCCATCTTCAAAAACAGGTGGTGACTGAAACCAGCTAACGATGGTGACGTTTGTGGAAGACGTCCAACAGTTTGCATGTTCGTCCGCTCAGATTTGAGTAAACTATGCGGATGTGATAAACAGAAGGCGTTTGTTTACGTTCAGTGCGTACCCACAGTTCAGAACTGCAACGTACCACAATTTGTAAATGTATGAAAGTCAAACTGCACCATTTGTTTTAGTTCATTAGAACCCGTTTTATATTTGAGGACCTTTAAAGGACCTAAACTGAACTAATTAAAGTAAATTTAACATTTTATTTAAAAAAATCTCAAACTGATTTTTTTTTTTTTTAAAAAGACAAATCCCAGCAACATTTTATGACAAGTACCAAAAAAACTCAAAGAAACTGATAATGATTTTTTTTATTCCAAAACAATTCTGGTAAAATAATCTACAAACATCAGAACCAGGCAGAGGGAAACACAAGGTGGAAAGAGAGAACAGAACTTTCACAGGACGAGGGGTCGGGTCGGACCGGTTAGTAGTCAGAACAGAACTTCTCTTCTCCTCAAACACTGAAACAAGCGTTTGCAGTTTGATGTTTGTCAAATAAAAACAGTTTTTCCTCTGCTGATCCGTCCGAGCCTCACCGTGCGTTGGGGGGGGTCGTCCCACTTTAACCTCACGAGCTGTCAAACACAGACGAAGGACAGGAAGGCACTTTCTAGACGAAGTCGACAGAATCTAAACACACGGTTCTTTGATTTTTACAATCGGCTGCGCTGCCACCCTGTAATTCAACAAAACGAAGTGTTTCTTCTCAACCTAAAGGCAGAATCCTGCTCAGATTCCCAAAACTTAAACTCGTGAAGCAGGGAGCGCGAACAAGTGCGCCCCCCACAGTCTACGAGAAGCAACTTCACCTTATTTGGAGGAAAACAAACTGTTATTAACGATCTAAACGTTATCATTCATCTACTTTTACAACTTTAAAGCAAGTATACATGGCTTACAAATGCTAAATGATTTTTTTAGGTCAAATATAAAAAGGAGATTACATGTAGACGCAGGTGAGCTGCTCGTGTGGACGGCTGCCAGCTGAGTTCAGACGTTAAGAAACATCCAAAAAAAAGTGTTATCGTGTCGAGTCTTTTTTAATCCTCCAGTAGAATCAGGTCTAAAAACAAGGCCAGTCAAAAATAAAACTAATGTGAAAACTTTGTCGTCCTCGGTTGTTTCTTTCAGTCACTCCAGCGATGGCTGCCTCCAGCCTACAGATGTGCAGGAGACACAGACGTTGGATCTCCACATACTTTTGGTTGCCAGGTTTGATTCTGTTGGTTCCTGTCTGGTGAAAGAAGAAAACTGTTTGCTCTTAAGGCCGAGACACGAGGCGGCGTTTCGAGAAAAAACAAAAAGGAAGAGCCACGTTCGGCTGAGCGCTCTTGAAGCCTTTTTCAGACGGAGTGTCCAAAGGAGCAGGAACGAAGGAACCGTTCTCATCCCGCACAAATAAAAAATAATGAACACGTCTGATTATCAACATCGGCTGAACGTGAACGAACCACAGGAGTGAATGTAACCGGGTGGAGCTTGGATCCCAGAATGTGGTCAAAGCGGTCCGCGATGGTTCCGTCCTCTGAAACGTTCTTGGAGGTCCGGCGGTCTTGGCAGGACTAGTGGCTGACGAGTCCCTGCAGCATCATCAGCAGGCGGCGCGCCCTCTTGCCGAGCGGACTGTGGGAGTCCTGCTGCAGGAAGGCCAGGAGCTTCGGTCTGACCTGGGTCAACACGGAGGACATGTGGTCTCTGGTCAGGGGGTCGCTGTGGTCCAGGTTCATCACAGCGTCCTCCAGGTAGCTGAAAGGGGGATGAGAAGAGAACAAGGTCACACAGAATGACAGAAACTCAAAGGAGGGGTTGGATTAGTGTTGTAATCTTATACAATCATTTATTCAGTCTGCTTTTCTAACATCCTTCTACCAATGTTCACACTGTCCCTCCTCTGGACATGTCCAAACCACTGTCCCTCCTCTGGA